TCATCTAGTGGGAGGTATTCCTGCCCATGGCAGGGGGTTTGGACTAGATCATCTCTAAAGGTCCTTTCCAAACCAAATCATTCAGTTCCATGTTAAAAAAAAATGCAGCCCTGAGGGGAACAAGTAGGATTCCCACTGATTTTAAGGAGCTAACTACAACCGGTTTCCTTGCACCCTGTGTAAGTGTTGGAGGGGGAGAATGCATCCTCCACGGGACAATTCAGAGCATCTCCCCTCATCTGCTGCCTGAAGCTGGGCCCTGGTGGAGAATACACAGATAGGTCAGTGAGGTGCTGAGCATGGGATGTGGAAACTGGGCTCTGCATATGGGTTCTTTCTGAGTACAGGGAAATGTGCCCACTGCACTTAGAGAGGGAGAGTTTTGGGGAGGTGCTGCTACAGTGAACAGTACGGCCTGGCGATAAGTTTGTCAGCACTTTCCCTGTAGTCCTCTAGGAAAAGGACGAGATGTTGTGAATTTCATACATAAAAGGAAAAGTATCACATTTTCCCCAAATTCTTCAGGAAATTACTCTCATATACAACCCCAGAATTTGGCTGCCTTACAGAGACAGAGTGTCATTTGCATGCCATTACCAGGCTGTAAAAGCCTCATGGTGACTGCCTACTATACATTTGCAATCTTTAGGGATCCTATGAGGGTCACCCCTGAGGTCAGGTTTGTTTAGTCTGTTCCATAACGGTGTAAAGTGGACTTGAATGTGTACTCTGCTCAAATAATACACAATCTGATTGATACTTAAACATCAGTAAGTGTTGTATATATGTTGCAGTTTCTAATGTTCCAGGCAGAGGAGAACCATGTATTTGCTAACAAATTGTTTCTACAAACAACCTGATGTGGCTTTGAAAAGTGAGTCAAAATAGGGAATGAAACGTACTCTCAAAATAAGAAAATCTTCATTTTTTCTTTCCTTGGGAAAACCTCTCTCTTTTTTTTTTTTGGAAATCCCCTCTGAGCCCTCTCTGTATTTGGAATTCTTCCCCCTGTTTACTTTCAGTTCACCCACCATCCATTCACTGATTGCCCTGCAGTTCAAAAGTCAGGTTCTTTACAGTGTATTGTTCAAAGATGGCTTAATTAAAAATAGATCACATCTTCTGTCTTGTGCTTAATAAGCATTGTGCTGACTGGCTTCATAGAGGCCTGGATGACATTTCAGCCTTTTACAGATCTTTCAAAAGTAATAATAAAAAGAAAGGGAGGGGAAAAAACCCAACGTGAAGTCCTTTTCATCCTTAATATGTCATCATTTAGAAGGCAAGAATTAGTACTCAACACAGGCTTAGGAGAATAGAGAGAGAGTAGAGAAAAGCTGACATATGAGTGACTTTGCTCTATGTCTTCATATTTAGAGTACTATAAAAGTATAATCTGTTGTGAGGGCTAACCTCACCGTATTTTTCTAGTGCTTCTCTTCCAACAAAACTTCCATGATGAAAATATAAATAGTGACATAAAATTATACAGCTCAGCACAAAACTGGTTGAGGCAAAATGTTCTCATTGCCATTTTTATGGCTACACCATAAAGTTAAAACCAACTAGTTATTAAGCTTTCTCCTTTTTTAATTCTGTGTCATTCACACGGGCTCAGAGAGGTGTTCCCTCTCTTTCATCCTTTGCTCGTTTCTGGATCAATAACACGTCTGTGATGCAATTTCCATTTGATTCTTTCTTGCACTGCTTCGCTTTACTTAGCAAAGAAATTGTTACTAGAGAACAAATACAAGAGCATGACTCCAGCAATAAACCGTAGTTCTGGGTTAAACCTGGCTGCTGCGGAGGTGGGCATACAATGGAAAAGAGAAGAATAGTTTTCCTTTATTCCAGCAGCTCACAGGGACTCCACACTTCTCTTTTTAATCACTATTATACAGAAGCTCGCAGATACCTGAGGACAGGGATTGTCAGCTCAGCAGCAGGGTCAGCATCCACCAACACTTCTGGCTTTAGTTTAAGCAGGAGTAGTAGTAGTTCAAAATGAGCTGTGTCGTAGTTTAGCAGAGCTGCCTGTTGTGCTTTTGGAAGTGCTAGTCACAGATGCACCTAAAGAAGCAATACTTCCTCTACCATGAGCAGTAGGGCTAACAGTGCTTGATAGGAGCCAGCTGAGTACCTCCATTTATCCTGTGAAAAGGAGCCTGATCAGCTCCCAGCTGGCCAGAATCGACCCTGCAGGGGACAAAAGCTCTCAAAAGGAGCAGCCGCCTTATATCTGAAGGGTTTTAGGTGCTGTCTTCTTGTTGAGGTTTCTGCCTCTGACCCAGGCTCATTTTGGTGTTGATGGATTGAATCACCACTTGGTGGGATTGGTCCTCTGCAGTGAGACTGTGCTCAGTAATGAAACTGCTTTATGTAAAGGTAGCTCAGGTCTCTGGGCTGTGTGTTGTCCCACAGTGTAGACGCTTCCCTGGGAGAGGCTCTGATGGATCAGAAGGTAAACTTAATTATGTTCTAGGTATGCTCTGAGAAAACCTAAGGTACCATAATAGCTTTTGTGTCCCCCTGTGCCCCTTTGTTGTCTTCCCCACCACCTAAAAAATGTATCATCTGACCAGGCAGAGTCTCTCTCCATCAGCTCTGCCTAGCTTTAGCTCTGGTTAGCACAGCCTCCGCTTGGGCCTCTTGGAGCCTTATTTGCCTTTCTCTTTGTTTCTGGACACAGTCCTTTATAGCTTTTATTCTTCCTAGGATCTGATTCAAGAGGAGAAGGTTGGATTTGACTCTGTGCTGGCAAATTCTGATGTTTCAGTAACTTTCAAAGCATTCTTGCAGAGAGAGATGACATAGGAGTCCCCTTGCCAAAATGTAATCATGCAGAAAATGCAAAATGGAGATCACCATATAGATTATTTTATAATGTGGTCACATGAGAGTAGATGGCATAGAAGCCAGAAACTGAGCAGTCACTGCAACAGACTCTAGATTGTTGCAATTTGATTCACGTAAGGGAATTGTGTTAGCTTTTTGGCTGTGGTTTTGATGTTCTATTTGGAAATGTATGATGTCGTTGTACCAAGCAAATCACAGCAAAAGGCTGCTTGTATTTATGTTGGCTAAAGGTTTAACCAAGTGTACATGGCAGCCTTAATTTATTGCTACTTTAACTTTGTTTAGTCACTGAAGGGCTTTATTTATGCTGGTAAATTCAAATAGTGGCTAACAGTGACCACACAGCTAAAGGAATGGCAAGAGTCATTATCACTAAATCACTTTGTTGCTGAGCTCCCTTAATTAAGTGGGGGGGAAGGGGGGGGAGAAGGAGGGAAATTGAATCCCTGGATATTCAATAGAGAATAGGGTGGTAAAAGAGAGTGATCAGTTGCTTTCCTTAGCAAACTGGATTTCTGTAACCTACGATGGCAAAGAAAGAAGGAAAATAAAACTGGAGCGTCGTCTAAACTGCTGAATTAATTGAAGGCACATTAAAAAGTTTTATAGAGGCTCTATAAAGTAAAATAAATAGCAAGAAAGTTATATTCTTTATGCAAACATTTTTCATTACAGTACGTGTCGGTCCCTCAGTGAGAGCTCATTAACTTTTTAAAAATTACCTTTAATGGGCTACTCATTATCATCGCCATCAAATGCTTCACTTGTCCGACATTCTAGCGTTTAGAGCAGATTAAAGCCAAAATTACCCTCTAGATACAGGGCATATTCAACTGCAGAGGGAGCAAAAAAAATCCTTCCGTAAAGTCATGGCTTATAAACAGTGAAAATTAGGGATGGTGAAAGCAGCCTTTTTTTAAAGCTCAGAATGTGTCTCAGTGTGGTAGCTGTGGCTTTGAGCAATAAAAAAATGAAAAGGTTTCTCGTTTTAAAGTCTCTCATTGAAGAGATATTTGGTTAAAACAGGGACCTTGCAACCTGGTCTCCAGAGCTTGGGCACATCCTTGTTTGGCTATTATTTAGCTAAGAGGCTTGAACGAGTCACTTCTGTTGCCTCAACTAAAACTTGTGGGTACTGAGATGTCCTTTGTCAAGGACTGCAAGCCTTTGTTTGGAAGCTGCTTTAGGAGATAATGCTTTCATTGTTGCTCATCCTGCAAGGGCTCTGTGGGATCTAAAAAGCAGGAGCAGAAACAACACCAGATCCAAAATGTTTAGCTTGTTTAAATTGGCCGAAGCTTTTCAGTTTCAGTGGAAGTTTACTCATTTGCACCAGCAGGGAGATTGGCATCCACTCTGTTTCTTTTCTAAGGGTGGTGTTTGGGGAGAGTGGAAATTCAGAACTGTTGATTAGGAATTGCAGACATCCTGGCATGTTTTGATTTATTGGGGCTACAGTGCTCAAATGTGCTGCTGTGATGAATAGCAAGGTTCTTCAAGGTTGCTTTAGCAAGGCAACCCCAAAAACATTTCCTCAATGATAACTTTACTTACTCCTCTGAGGAGGAAAACAATATATAAACAGGGCTCAGTCCTCAGCTGGCTGGACTCTCCTAACTCTGAGGGAGCTGGCCGATTCATGTCAGCTATGGGTTTGGACCTCACTTTGCCTTTCCTTTCCCTGGGTTATCTGAACAAAACATCAGTGTGCCTGCGTCACCAGTACTCAAAGGTACTCCTGGACTGTGGTAACAAGGAGGATGAGAAAATGACACCGGCATTATGCAGATGAGACAAGGTTCTTTGGTTTAAACATGCTGTGATGCCTTGCTATGTTATTCCCAGTTGTGGGGAGGCTGAGGGCTTCCTCTGTCACTAAATAGATCCTGGAACTGTTAAGACCCTCCACCTCTGCACCTTTTAATCTGTTTCATCCAAGAACCTTAGTTTATTTTTCAAAGCTATTGAACTGAAACTTATGGTGCTGTAATACAGAGCCAGGCACTAGAGTTTAACTGGGATAAATTCATCCTGGTGGTGGGGTTTGGTTAGAGTCCTCTATCAACAGTCCTTTGCTTAAAATAAAGGTGTTCTGAAATCATTTTGCCTCCTCACAATGCTCTTTTTATCCCTTCAGCTGAGAAGATTCTCCAGATATTCCTCTTCTGGCACTACAGTGCCTGTCTGATGCAGAAAGTATCTGAAGATGGGTGAAAAGTTCCAGACAAAATAAAAGAAACTACAGAACAACATATCAAATGATGGAGCTGGAGTGTTCCTCAGAGATCCTGAGATGGTCCTGGTAAGGTTCATAAGCTGAGACTATTTAAAGCTTGCCATAAAGGATGTGATGTCTATGCCCTTGTTATTTCTTATACCTTTAAGACTGTAAATTCTAGCATTGCATATACATTGGTAGGTCAGTCCTCATGGCAACCAGATTCAGACACTCCAAAAAATCAAATGAGAGCTCTTCAATCAGGTGTACTGATGTGGTGGTGCCTTCATCTTGAGAGAGAGTTGGCTTGCAGGAAAGCTGAAGGACAGCTTAGACCTACCCTGTGTGTAGCTCTGTGGTGGCTACCAAAGCCACCTTTCTTTAAATTAAAAAAACAAGCTAAAACCCAACACCCCTGTTTACTTGGTATGCAAGCCTGCCAAATGAATATCCTGCCATGAGCAACACAATGGCTCTTTGTGGTCCTGATGGAGAACCTGGAGCTCCAAGCTTGAGTTAAAAAATATATAAATCAGATGCTGAAGCTTAGGCAGGTCAGAGATCCTCCTTTTTAATATTATAAGCCTGACTTTTAGGCCTGAGATACATATTTTGGTTTCTTCTGCCTGACTTTGTCAAGAATAGTACTCCTGTGTCTCTCAGGATAAACACACTGATGGCTTTGAAATGTGTAAGCTGAGATATATTTCACTTAGTGTGGACATTTCCAGTGTCTACAGCTGTGCTTGTCACCTGTGGCTCTGCATATTCACTGAGAGGAAACAGATGCCATTGGAAGGTGGTGTAAATGACCTATTTTGAGTGTCTGCTTGAACTGAATCTAGGTCATTATTGCAGTGACTCTACTGAGCAGATTTCCTAAAAGGCCTAGCTCCATTGGAAACAGGCTTTCATGGAGAAGGAATACAGTGAAAGGAATACACTGCTTTCAGCTGCAGCCAGTGGTGGCTTGAAATTCTTCTTTAACCCTCCATTCCTATCTGTACTCTTCCTTTCTTCCCACTTCCTAGTAATACACCACTCCTCAGGTTTCCCCATCTATAACATCTAATCCATCCCTGGTACTCACAGACAAGTGTGGGAGTTGTGGTGTGAAACGGGGAGCCCAGGATCAAACTCTCCACTGCCTGAGCGCTTTCTCAACCCACCTGTGCCTCCAGAAATAACTTTAGAGTCCCTTAAGGAGAGGGGAAAGACCTGATCAAACCAATAATTAGCAAAAGCAATCATCAACCACTAACAATGAAAATTCTGGTAACTGAAATATGCAGGAATAAACCCAGGAAAACGTTTGCACTGGGTTGCTTCAGAGTGTTTTAGGATATGATCCCCATGAATTAAGGACTTACCCCTTCAGTGTGCTGGTTAGAGGTGGATAGGAAATGCAAAACTATTTCCTGTTTCAGAGCTAGGCAAGTTGCTCGTGAAAACTGCATGAGAGGAAGAGGAGTGCAGAGGCAGACAGCTTAAGAAAAGGATCTGGCTTTCTAAGACCAAATAGCCTTGCACCTATTCATATTGCAGCACTTGTCTCAAGTGCAGAAATCTTAGAGTTGCTGATTTCAACACCTCCCTCTGCCTTAAACTAAAAATTCACTTCTGAGAGTAAAAATGTTCCTGGCTAAGACTCCGTTGAAAGAGGCACACTTTGAAAAATGTGGATGTCAGTAAGTAAAATCAAGCTTCCTCATAAAACAGCAAAAGAAACCTTCAAATCATCTGTTGTAGACAATCCAGCACCTGCTGTGTGCTGTCAGGTCCCCATGGCATCAGCAGCCACAGATGACTTGTGACATCAAGCCCTGAAACTGAGCAATGAGATATAACTGTGCTTAGTACTTGGTAATACCATCAAATCAGATGCTGGCGGCTCAGGTGTTCTAGGCTTCAGGGTGCTTTACGGCTTGAGAGGAAACTCTCATGGCCAAAAGATACACAGCAATTTAAATATAAAAGAAGCAAAACCACTTGATTATTATATGATGCTGTGGGATTTGATAGGGAATACAAATAGACCCAGAAGACTCCGGCCTTTCTGTGCCTGCCTTGTGATTGATCGTATTTTCACTGGACAGTCACAAACCAGAAAATGAATTACACAAGGTGCTTGGAAGTGCTGGGGGTTTGTCCATTGGTAATGTTCTTCTCTTACAAGGTCTTCGGGAGGCAAAATGAAATTTCCACATAGGTTTTTTTGAAGCTGAAACAATTTTATGTTTCAAATGGAAGCATATTTTGGTATCTTTGAACCAATCAGGATTCTGTTCCTAGTCACTCTGGTTTTATGCTGTGTCTGCCTGAGCAGCTGTAGTGCCTGGGTACAGCTAAAACTGTGCACTCTCAGAGACTGGGCTTCATGGTGAGTTGGTATCTCCTGCTGAACTGGCACAGTACTTCATGGAAACAGTGAAACTGTGGCTTATGGTAAATAGCAAGGAAGGCAGTCCTCCATAACTGATGGCTGAAATCTCAGCCAGGAATGGCACTCAGAATAGCTACATGGATGAAATACTCAATCCGTAGTACTGTCATGGTATCAGTGAGCCTGAAAACACCACAGTACAAAGACAGTTTTCTCCTAGAGCATCTCTGCTCATGTGGACAGACCACAACTAGTGTTAAACTAAATGCTGGCAGAGGAGAACAGCTTTGCCAGCCTTTCTCAGCAGCATTTTTGGAGGCCGCATCCTTCCTCCTGGGCAAGGTTTGTACTCCTGGGTTGAGCTGCTTTTAAAGTTGATTCAGGTAGATCTACCTGGGCTGCAATAACTATAGTGTAGAAATACACCAGAAAGAGCTGAAGGTACCTTACTGATAACAGAGGTTTGGCTCACAAAGGTCTGATCGTAGCCTCCTCTGTTTTGCACCCTCTGTGCCTCTTGTGCCAATGCTGGCAGGAGGTGTCACGTGTGGGGTACCCCAACGTTGGTATGCACGCAGAGCAGCACTGCGGAGACACCTACAATTTATTGTTACCCTCTGTTATTCTATCTGCATGTGCCAGTAACATCCAGTGCAGCAAACAGAGCTTTGAAGCATTCTACAGCCATCATCTCCGTTCAGCCCACTACTTAATCTGGTGATATACAGGCCAGCTGGATGATTTCTGAAAAGCAGATAATCGTATAATTTTTATCATGCTGGTACATTCTCTTGCTGCTGCATCTTTGCTGCACTTGGAAATGAAGACAGTGTAATTACCTTACAATTATCTTGTCAGCTTGTAGCAGAATGCAAAATTCGGATTGGGGTAGGGAATGAGAGTGCATTTAAACACCGGGCTCCTCTGATGTGGTGTTCATTTATTTTCCATGCTAATTTTGGGGCTGGGTAATGAAGTAGATGTGTGTGGTGAAGCTAAGTGGCCCAGAGTGGCTGTCCAGAATACAGGAGACCAGCTGGCCGTGTACTTTGGCATGCTGCAGGAGTGGGGACAGAGATTCCCTGCACTGCATTGCTGCATTTCCCTGGTGCCCAGGAATGAGGTTTCCATTCAAGTGTTCAGGGAGTTTGATTGCCATGGGAAGTGGGGTGGGAGCATGCTTTTGCCTGGTGGAGGAAGAGGCAGTCTCTTTTCCGTGTAACCTCTGATGCAGCATGCCTCTAAGTATATGTTCAGACTGTCCAGCCATGTTCTCTGTCAGTCCTGATTATGTTTTAACATGACAGCAATAGGAGGCAGCAATACATGAAGACTTCTCCATATTCTCCAGCCCTTCCTTTTTTGTTCTTTTACTTGCCTGTGTAAATGCCTATTGGGGGCTCCCTTAAACAGGGGGATGCCAACTGAGATAAATTATGATTATCTGCCATTGTGAACAGCCATATTAAACTGATATGTATATATTTGGAGAGTGCTCATAAGGTTTAAATCTCATCAGGGTGAGGCGTCTTTCCTCTCTGATTCAGAATATGCTTTTGGGCGAACCTTTGGCTGGTATTTTTATCTCAAATGGGTGTCCTTCCCTTGTCTTTCATTAAATACTCAGGCCTTTCCTGGTAGAAGGGGCTCTGGCAGTGTGGCAGTTCCAAGCTCACACTGAAGCAGAATTTTACAACCAGTATTGCCATGAATTCCAGCTGTTCTGCACTGGTGAGACACAGCCATGGAGTAGGTTTGTTTTTCACTGCTCAGTTTACAGCTTTTTCCCTCCTGACTTGCATAGCTTGAGAGACATCTTAGCAAGTCTACCAGTCAGCACAGAGAGGAACATGAGAAGTGGCTTTCAGCTGACAGACTCTGATGGGCCCTGGTCTGGTGTCAATACACTTTGAAGAGTTTTCAAAACAAATGCTGTTTCTGTCAATGCAACTCTGTTAACGCTTTGGCATTTCAAGGCCTAAGCCTCCTGCCTGTAGTAGGTAGTGTGGGATTTTAGCGATCAGAAAGCATCATATGATGGGTTGCTAAGTGGTTTGCATTTCAAAGTCAGCTGCAAGTTAAGATGTATCTTGGCAGAAACATGCAGTAAATGGGCCAGGCTTCCAAACAGAGACCAGGCTGCCTTTTGCAAAGGAGTTCTCATTCTGGGATAAGCAGTCGAGTTGCACTGCTGTGTGCCTTGCATGGCTGGAAAGGTATGAGTAGTCAAAGACCGACTGAGATGTGCTTGACAATCGGAGCTCTTTGGGGTTGGTCTTTTTCATGCAGTGCAGTCAATACTGCACTGAACCAATTTTTTTGCACTGTTTAGGCATAAAACATTCTTCAGCACTGTGCATGTTCTTGAGGCCTTGACCTTTTATACTGCTGAGTCCTGTAAGCATTTGCAAGGCTTTCTGAATAATTGCTAAGAAAAGAGATAGTGAAGGATGTTAAGTGCAACTTTCACAGACTAAAAGTGCTTAGTTTTGCCTTGAGAACAGGAATGTTAAGTTGTCCTTCATCCAAACCCCTTTGTCTCACGTGGCAGAAAGGCATGTTCAAAGGAAAGAAGGGCAGAAAAGACAATGCTCAAAAGGAGTGGAAGTAACCCAACAAAAAGCAGAGAGCAGCAGCAAACTTATGCATACAATCCTACTCTCCTGCACTGCCCATTGCTCCACCAAAGGAGTTCGAAAAG